TATTAAAACAAAAAATTTTTTTACATGAAATATACATGTAGTACATAAACAATACAATGGGAAATGGTGAATGAAACATTAACAGCATAACACTTACCTTTATTGGAGATTCTTCTTAGTGTATGGGAGACTGGAGGAGGAGAGAGAGTGGATTGTTTACAGTTTGGAAGGGGAATCCCCTTCCAGCAACACCTCAGGTACCAATTGCTTCTCTGGGGTTGCTTCTCTTCTCTGTTTCTTAATGCCACTTGGACCACCTTGAGAGTCACTCTAGTCCTGTCTCGCAAAGTAACTGTGGAGAGAGCTCTGTTTCTGGCGTCTCTTTAACACTTCCCTAAAATGGCCCAAGACTTTGTCACTGTACATATTTCTCACCTTCTTTACCACAGGCTTGGCACTAGGAGCTTTCTTTGGAGCCATGGTAGCTTATTTAGTACTTGCAAGCACTAAAATGAGTGGAATATTACGAAATATTTCGTAGGAGCACTTGAGGGGACCTTCACTCACTGGTAAACAATGCCAGACTGGCTGGGTAGGGAGGCCGCCCCGGCTCACACCGTGCATACGCGTCCCGGACGAACTACTACTCGCGAGTCAACCTATGAAAAGCGAGTCCATGTTTATACGAAAACACTCCTATGACTGGCGAAATTTACGACTGCCGAGAACTACGAAAAGCGAGGGACCACTGTATTTCAGAGGTCAAGGAAGTTGTACATGGGACAGCATCAGAGATAGAGGGGAGAGGGTGAGTAAAGATTGGGGCAACAATGGAAGCTACCAAAGTAGGGGGGATGAAAGGTTAGAGTTAGCTTGGGAGGGGACAGGAGAGGAAGAAACCTGGGAGGGGACAGGAAAGGAAGGGACTATACAAGGGAGAGAATGAACCTCCACTCATAACAGAGCTAGAAAGAGATAAAAAAAAAAAAAAACTAGGTACAGAGACTGAAAAGGAAAAATTTCTGGGAAGGATAAATGAAAGTAAGGTTAAAAGAGATTTACACTTGGGGGATGTTTTGGACTTTGGAGTAGAGGAGCAAGGGGGAGGAGCTGTTGTGCAAGGTCAAATAGACAAACTTCTGAGAGAGATGATGAAGATTTGAGAACAAGAGATGATGAGGTAGGGACCTCGGAGTCCAGGACTGCAAGAGTTAGATACAAAGGTGACTGTGGAGTGACCACAGGGGAGACTGCAGGAGTTGGGACCCCAGAGGTTGGAGGCCTCTTAGTAGCTTGAGAATAAGAAATACGGGGAAGTCTCCCCTGGAGGCGTAGATGAGAGACTGCCATGGCATAAGTAAAGCCTTCTGTTTCTTTGAGACAACGGATTTCTTGTTCTCTTAAGTAAACTCGGCAATGATGAGAATAAGATGAATGAGCTTCATTACAATTAAGGCAAGAGGTACATAGACTACAAGATGTATTGGTATGGTCATCGGCACCATAGATTGGGCCTTCTGCTATGGACCTGCAATATTTCGTGGGATGGCCAAAACGTCAGCAATTTCTACACTGTTGTGGTGTAGGGATCAACTTTTTGACTTGGATCTATGCTCACAGCTGTCAAAAGTTAAGCGAGCTACATAGCAGGGAAAGTATCTCTGACCACAGGCAGGTAGTACATATGTATCCACTTTGAGGACTGGAAAGTCTTGGAGCTCAAGCTGTTCCAGAATGTCATCACCACACATCTGGAAGTTACGTTGAACAATGGTATGAGGTAGAATGATGGTACCGCTTATTCCTTACAGGAATAGCATCTATGGTGGTAAGAAGAGAAAGATCATGAACCTGTTTAGCATTTTGCACCATAACAATGCACGCAACGCTCTTGAGAGCATAAAACAAAATATTTCTACCAACATGGCATAGAAGCACCTTGCTGATATATGTACTATGATCAGAAAGATAGTCTGAGGAAGATGTCAGCTGAAGAGTGAAAAACTTAGTCCACTGTGTACTACAATGCATAGTATGTAAATGGAGCAATTGTTACATTGGTCTTCTCTGAGTAGAGTGAGAGGCATTCAAAGCAGTGTCATCAGAGAAAGGTCGTGGTCATTTAGATGCAGGACTGAAGGTGGTCTGTTTTGAGGCAGATGAGCAATCTGAAAACCGTTAAACCATATGGAGGGAAGCCGGAACCATGGTCAAAGACGTGCAGAGGTCAGATGTCAAAGGAGTCATGCCGAGCCTTGGTATCAGGAGCGTGTGACAAAATGTCACCCGCAGAAGATACAGGGGTATTAGAAAGGTACAAAGGAAGGTTCAGTTATGAGGCACTGTTATATGAGGATGCTGCTACAGAAAGGGTCCCAGGAGGAGCAGTTTCATGGATTTGGGACTCCATGGTTACGTCTCTCTTTTCTTTTTGTTTTACAGGAAAAAAAAAGAAAAAAGGAAAGAAAAAAAAAGGAAAAAAGAAAGGGGGAGGGGAGTGGAGGGGTAGCTCCTAGGAGGAATGAAAGGGCTGTAAATCCCCCTCTGTGCACAAGAGGACCTCAGCGCAGCTAGTACTGCAGATGCAGCATGGACCCTGTACCATACCCTACCTTTTGGGGGTCAGCAGGTCCTCTCAGAGACTTGTTCTCAGGGTCAGCCAAATTTAAAAAAAAAAAAAATATTTTTTCTTATGAAAAGATAGAGAATCTTTTCCCGATCAAATTGGCACCAAAAGAGTGAAATTTGACCGAAAACTTATGGAATTATGCTCTTGCGAAGTTAGCAGTCTTGATGTTACCGCATCGGCGATTTTGCCCACTTTGAGCCCTATTTTCGGCCAATTCCAGTGTACTAGTCGACAAAAATCATAACTATTTGGCTAGAACTCCATTTTTTCTATTGAATGAGTACAAGAAACCACCCATTTACCGATTTCAACTATCCAATAAAGTGGTCAGAATTTAGCAATTTTGCCAATTTCACACAAATTTCAAAAGATGCCAATTTATAAATAGGGTCCAGAATAAACAAGAAAGACATTCCTGGCACTAAAATAACAAGTTCTCTGTTCGTTAGTCATGTCCCCAGGCCCCTCTTATATTTCTTTGGCTTTCCACTTTGAATATTTATTCTTACAAAAAAAAAAAAAATTTACTGTTATGCAGACTACTGCATTAGTGTAGAAATGGTATAAATAATATCAGCGCACTTGTGAAAGAATATTAGACTCACCAGTTGATGTGTATTGGACGCTTGGCATGATTTGTTTACTTTTGAACTTTGGTAAAAATCGAACATTTCTGCTACTTTGAGTTCAATTTCAAGGTACTTTTCATTGTAAAACCAGTCAAAATCATCTCAATTTCTGTAATATGTCTTCCATTCTATAAAATGAAACCAAGAAAACTAGAATACAACAATAAATACCATACGAAAATACAGCGCAAAGTCACTGTTTTAATCGAAAAACACGGTCAAAGTTTTTTTTCTCATTACGCAGTGTGCTGCAGGATTTTTTTTATACTGCGCACACTGACCACATAGACCCGTTCTTTCATATGTAGGCCTATCAGCTTTCTCTCACTAGATTTGAGGGCGCTAGAATTTAGGCGTACTAGTACGTCAAAAACCCTGGGTTGTAAGACGTTCTAGTACGTCCGAAACCCCCAAAGGGGTTAATGTTGATAAACCAGCAATCTGGGAACGTAACCTCCCATCTACCGAGCCACCTCGGCGGGAAAAAGAGAGGGCGGTCAGATACCCGCCACAAAGCATACCTCCTTTGGCCACCACCTCCTGGAATCCGACAGGCAGCCTCCAGAGATACACCGTCATCTGAAACACACCTAAAGTCTCCCTCCAATAGACAGGAGAGAGATCGGGATTTCCAGACGATCCAGATTCCATGGCAAACTACAAGACCACCAAGGACCTCAATGGAATGGGATGGACCCCGGTACCCTTGCCCCAACCTAGGAACTAGAATGCCTGAGGGAAGAACCCTAAAGGCTGAACACAGGAAAGGGAAAGGGGAAGGATGGGGAGAGGAGGAATGGGAAAGGAGGGATGGGAAGGATGGGACAGGGAAGGGGAGGATTGGGGGGTAATTAGGTTAAGTCAGATGAAGAAGACTAAAGGGTCCAATTCCTCAGACCAATAGCCTCTTTGCCACAGTAAGGAGCCCCTCTTGCAGAGGTACAGGAAGTAAAGCTCTTATTATACTCTAAAACATATAAAAACAAAGACTACAGATCATCCAGAGGACTCAGGAATAACTGACTGTTGGACTGTTTTGGTTTAAATCCTCATTACATTGAATTTATCTTTCAAATAATTTAAACTGTTGTATCTTAAAAATGAATAGGCACAGAATACTGATGAACGATGATGATTTAATCCAAGCTAAACCCAGAGCCATTACAGGCACTCATCCTGACCCATATTTAAAAAATGAAGTTTCTAATTTCCTTTAAGTTTTGCTGAAGATCTTTAATGACAAAAACCAGCCCATCACTATGATTACTCTACAACAATACTTTCTACTAAACACAAATGAGTTAACGTACAATTTACTGCAAAAAAATTAACAATGTATTTTGACATAAAAAAAAATTAAGGAAGCAAGCAACGTAAATTTACTCAGCACAAGAAAGACAATGTAAAATTAAATCATACATATAAGTAATGGCTTGTTTCCAAAAGCTACCAAGAAAAAAAAGAATACCAACAATTTATTGGCTATAAAAAAGACTTCAGTATCTATCTGGAGAGACAGTGGATGAAGTTATTTCTATTGCTTGATATTACTGTATGGTCAGTCTTTAGGCTAGATTAGGATAGGTTTATTTTAAATATTTGTGGATGATGACAGTGCCATGCTGGCAGTGGAAGTAGCAGCTGGCACCACTATAATGCTATATAATAACAGTGCCTAACCTAACCTAAATGCACTCGCCCGAAAACAACAAAAACGTCTAGATACGTCAGTAGCCACCGCCATGCTGCATTCAGCGCTATGACGTCACGCAAGAACGAGACTCCCACCACCCTCCACTCACAGCCAGCCACCGCTTCCACAGCGTCTGTGGAAATAGTCACTCTGAATGTTTATCACTAAGTTTTTATATCTAAGTTTCTTATCACTAGGTTTTCTTATCACTAAGTTTCTATATAACTAAGTGTACAGTATTCAGATTTATTTAGAATAGGTTAAGTAAAAAAACAATGATGCTTAAAGTTGAAGTTTGTGGACAAAGCGAGAAACCCAAATATAAAATATAACTGCAGGAGCCTAGAGCTGCAGTCCTGCACCAGAAACAATGTACACTGTACAAGTACTCCTCACTTAACGACCTACCTGTTTAAAGACCACCCACTCAGACTTACGACCTGCTCTCTGACCAGTGTATTGCATGTTTTACTGTTTTATTGTTTTAATGCCTAGTTATATTTTTAATATATACTAAAAATGTTATAAATGGTGCAAAGGTGACATTAAAACAATATCTAAAGACGGTTGACACAAACCCACTACCAGTACAGTATGCTTGAAACATCAGTAAGGGGCGGCTCCTTGCTTAACAACCAATTCACTTACTGACCTACGGAACTTGGTCATTAAGTGAGGAGTACCTGTATTAACACTATTGTATAAGTGGTCCTAGAACCTTACTGCCTAGTTTAGGATCTTTTCAAATAATACCAATCAACACCACTCTGCTGAGTCTTCACAACAACCTGATGGATATAATCTACTCGAGAAACTCTCAGGATATCCAAGGTAAAGCCATCGTCAAAGTCAGGGTTCATACTTATTCAAGGTGAAATACAAATTCCTATATGTACTGTAACTACCTCTGTATACTGCATGACATCAACCCATCTTCACTTTAACAGTGAACATTCTACTGTTAAAGTTTGGGCAAATGCTGTTTTCTTGTAATATTTACTGAATTTATTAATCTCATAAAAGAAGTGTTAAAAACATAGGGGTCATACAGCAACTTGGAATGACAGGCACTGAGAGTAGATTCAAGGAGAGGACGGCTCCAATTCTTGGATCAAGAACCTATCACCTGCATTAATTAAGGAACTTAAAAAAACAAAAAGGCATAATACCATGACTAGAACAATACACAATTAACCCACACATAGGAGAGAGGAGGTTATGACGATGTTTCAGTCCAACCTGGACCATTTACAATGTCACATTGTCGAAGCGTGACTTTGTAAATGGTCCAAGTCTTACCAAAACATCATCATAAGCTCCTATCTCCTACGTCCAGGTTATTTGTGTATTAACCCTTTCAGGGTCCGTGCCATAGATCTACAGCTTTACATTGAAGGTCCAAACCGTAGATCTACGCCATGAGTTCAGCTCACCCTGATAAGCTGTGAGCGGTAAATTTGGGCCTAGATATGAGAGAATACATCTATGTGGTATGTGTGCACCACATAAAACAAATGCTGCAGCACATAGTGCATAATGAGAGAAAAAAACTGAGACCACAATTTTCTATTAAAACAGCGACTTTGCTAGAATGGAAGATATATTACAAAAATTGAGATGATTTTGATTGATTTTAGCACTGGAAATGGCTTGAAACCGAGCTCAAATTAACGGAAATGTTAAATTTTTGCTGATGTTCAAGAGTAAACAAATGACCTCATACATCTAATACACGCCAGCTGGTGGGTCTAATATACGTTCACAAATGTGGTGATATTATTTATACAATTATTACAATATTGCATAACAGTAAATCTTCTATTTTTTGGTTTGAATAAAAATTCATTATGTGAATTAAAAATCAAAATGGAATTCATTTGTAAAGCCTCAAAACATAACTAATGAACAGAGGAAATGTTAGTTTAGTGCCAGGAATGCCTGCATTGTTTATTCTGGACCCTATTTTGAAATTGGAATATTTTGAACTTTGCACTAAATTGGCCAAATTACCAATTTCCAGTCACTTTATTTTGTAGTTGAAACAGTTGAGTTGGCGATTTCTTGTGCTTAATCGATAGAATAGTGAAATAGCTAAGAATGTGGTCAACTGGAATAAGGTAATTGGCCTAATATGGGAGTCAAAGTCGACAAAATTGCCAATGCGTAAATATCGCTGACACATCAAAATTCGCAAGAGCCTAATTTCATAAATTTTCCATCAAATTTCATACTTTTTATTTTATTACCTTCAGGAAAAGGTTCTCTATCATTTCATAAGATAAAATAACAAAATTATATTTTGAAAATTCTTGGACCCTGGTGTGCACTTTGAAATTTGGCCTCTGGACCCTGAAAGGGTTAAGGAACTTCCCTTGAACTTTATTTTTTTTAACCCTTTCAGGGTCGAGAGGCCCTCTCCTAAACTTGTTCTCGGTGTCAAAAATTTTTTTGGGGGAAAAAAAAAAAAAAATCTTATGAAATGATAATCTTTTTCTGATCATAATGACACCAAAAGTATGAAATTTGATTGAAAACTTACAGAATTATGCTCTCGCGAAGTTAGTGGTCTCAATGATGTTTACGCATCGCCGATTTCGCCCACTTTGAGCCCTATTTTCGGCCAATTCCAATGTACCAGTTGACAAAAAATAATAACTATTTCGCTAGAACTCCACTTTTGTTATCGAATGAGTACAAGAAACCACCCATTTATCTATTTCAACTATCCAATAAAGTGGTCAGAAATTGGCAATTTTGCCAATTTCACACAAATTTCAAAAGATGCCAATTTCCAAATAGGTTCCAGAATAAACAAGACAGACATTCCTAGCACTAAAATAACATTTCTTCTGTTCATTAGTCACGTCCCCAGGCCTCTGTTACATTCTTTTGCTTTCCACTTTGAATTTTTCTCACAAAAAAATAGAAGATTTACTGTTATGCAGACTACTGCATTTGTGTAGAAATGGTATAAATAATATCAGCGCACTTGTGAAAGAATACTAGACTCGCCAGTTGACGTGTACTGGACGCATGGCATGATTTGTTTACTTTTGAACTTTGGCAAAAATCGAACATTTCTGCTAATTTGAGCTCAATATCAACGTACTGTGAAATCAATCAAAAGTTATCTCAATTTCTGTAATATGTCTTCCATTCTATAAAATGAGACCAGGAAAACTAGAATACAACCATAAATTCCGTACGAAAATACACTGCAAAATCGCTGTTTTAATTTAACTAAAAACATGGTCGGAGTTTTTTTTTCTCATTATGCACTGTGTGCTGCAGGATTTTTTTTATACTGTGCACAATGACCACAAAGACCCATTCTTTCATATGTAGGTCTACCAGCTTTCTCTCGCTAGATTTAAAGGCATTAGAATTTGTGTGTACTAGTACGGCACCAACCCTGGCGTGCAAGCCGTACTAGTATGGCACCAACCCTGAAAGGGTTAAATAGCCAATGGGTATGATAGAGCTGTAAAGCCAGAATACTATTATGTACACACAGATAAGTGTGCACTGTATATACAAAGGTAATAAATCCTTATGTAGTACAGTAGTACAGTGGACCCCTGCATAACGTTGGCATCGCATAGTGTTAAATCCGCATAGCGATACATTTCATCGATAAATTTTTGCCTCGCATAGTGCTAAAAAATTCGCTCAATGCGATTCGTCCGAGACACGTCCATGCGGCCTGAGCCAGCCTCACTTGTTCTGCCAGTGGCATTGTTTACAAGCCAGCCTCCGCGGTAACATTCAAGCATACAATCGGAACATTTCGTATTATTACAGCCTTTATAAAGTGATTTCACCTGAAAAATAAGTGACCATGGGCCCCAAGAAAGCTTCTAGTGCCAACCCTACAGGAATAAGGGTGAGAATTACTATGGAGATGAAGAAAGAGATCACTGCTAAGTATGAAAGTGGAGTGCGTGTCTCCGAGCTGGCCAGGTTGTATAGTAAACCCCAATCAACCATCGCTTCTATTGTGTCCAAGAGAACGGCAATCAAGGAAGCTGTTCTTGCCAAAGATTTAACTGTGCTTTCGAAACAGATCGCAAGTGATAGAAGATGTTGAGAGACTGTTATTGGTGTGGATAAACGTTAAACAGATAGCAGGCGATAGCATCTCTCAAGCGATCATAAGTGAAAAGGCTAGGAAGTTGCATGACGATTTAATTAGAAAAATGCCTGCAACTAGTGGTGATGCGAGTGAATTTAAGGCCAGCAAAGGTTGGTTTGAGAGATTTAGGTGTAGTGGCATACATAGTGTGATAAGGCATGGTGAGGCTGCCAGTTCGGACCAAAAAGCAGCTGAAAAATATGTGCATGAATTTAAGGAGTACATAGACAGTGAAGGATTGAAACCTGAACAAGTGTTTAATTGTGACGAAACAGGCCTGTTTTGGAAGAAAATGCCATGCAGGACCTACATTACTCAGGAGGAAAAGGCACTCCCAGGACATAAGCCTATGAAAGACAGGCTTACTCTTCTGATGTGTGCTAATGCTAGTGGTGATTGCAAAGTGAAGCCTTTATTAGTGTATCACTCTGAAACTCCCAGAGCGTTCAGGCAAAAGAATATCCTCAAGGCTAATTTGTGTGTGCTGTGGAGGGCAAACAATAAGGCATGGGTCACTAGGGACTTTTTCTATGACTGGTTACACCAAGCATTTGCCCCAATGTGAAAAATTACCTAACTGAAAAGAAATTAGACCTTAAGTGCCTCCTGGTGTTAGACAATGCCCCTGGTCATCCTACAGACTTGGCAGAGTGACTTTGTGGGGACATGAGCTTCATTAAGGTGAGGTTTTTGCCTCCTAATACCACTCCTCTCCTGCAGCCCATGGACCAGCAGGTTGTTGCAAACTTCAAAAAACTGTACACAAAAGCTCTGTTTGAAAAGTGCTTTGTAGTGACCTCAGAAACTCAATTGACTCTTAAAGAGAATTTTGGAGAGAGCACTTTAATATCCTCAATTGTGTAAACCTTATAGGTAAGGCTTGGAAGGGAGTGACTAAGAGGACCTTGAACTCTGCTTGGAAGAAACTGTGGCCAGAATGTGTAGACCAAAGGGATTCTTAAGGATTTGAGGCTAACCCTGAGAATCCTATGCCAGTTGAG